AGAAAGAAAGAAAGAAAGAAAAAGTAAGAGGGGGGAGGGAGAGAGAACCCCTCAGTGGGGATTGGTCAAGTAAGAGGGGGGAGGGAGAGAGAACCCCTCAGTGGGGATTGGTCACCCTGCCATCCCTTCTTTATCTCTCTGTTCTGTCAAGATTTGGAGCAAACACGCACATATGCCCAGCATGTTTTTCAAGCCACCCAGTCTAGGAGTCGAACCATCAGGTTGATCCTACCCATCTGGGATCCAGCTCCTTTAACGACCAGTTCATGATGGCCCCTAACCACCTCTTATCAACTGGTCTATCGCCTTCGCTGCAGCTGGAGCACCAGAAGTCCAGCATCTGGTAGGTGTTCAGTCAGCATTCAAGACATGAATGAATAAAATACACAGTTAACCTTCAGCAAACGGGTTTTTATTTTCATATATTACTTAGCCCATTATACCCCCTCTCCTCAATCCCTAGCTAACTCAGGGAGCTCCCGAAAACCTCAGTGGAGGTCTCCATCAGTGAGAGGCCTGTCACTGTTTGCCCCTCACAGCCTTCCCTCTGGAGCAGCTCAGACATCCCTCCCTGCAAGGGGCAGCTCCTCAAGCAAGAGCCTGTGTGTGCAGGCTGGCACATGACATCGGGTTCCTATAAATGCTCTCTGCTCCCAGATTTATCACGCCCCATTGAGGGACAGCACCCACTCTCGTCCAGGTATTGACTGACTTTTCCCCCAGCAATGTTTGTTCTAGGGATTAAAGTTCGTGAAGGAGTTTATAGTTTCCAGGATCATCTATTCCTTTCCTGGCAGCCAGCACAACATTTATTTTATTTTCCCAAGCCCCTGACAATACGGTTCCAGACATGTTGGTCTGATAGCATCTTCCAATGGAAGGCCTCCCTCTGGTCCCCACGTAGGAAGATAGGATCTCCTGCTGGCTTCGCTGAGCGCTGCCTGTGCCAACTATTCTCACTGTTCCCTTATGTCCTTTCTTAGGCCAACCTTGCAGCCCATGATCATCTCCTTCTTCTTCCTTCTTCCTTCTTCCTTCTTCCTTCTTCCTCTTCCTTCTTCCTTCTTCCTCTTCCTTCTTCCTTCTTTTCTTCCTTTTCAGTTTTCTTTTTAAGAACTGTTACGACCCCTTATGTAAGTAGCACACTCAAAATACAGGATACACTGTGCTAGTGAATTTTGAAAATAATGTCCATTGAGCACTAAGACTTTAAACAATCATATCTGTTTTTTAAATTATTGTATTTAATTTAATTGTATTTATTTTAATTTGACCAGAGAGGGACAGAGTAAGAGAGAGAGAAAAAGACAGAGAGGAAAAGTGAGAAAGCAAGCTGCCAAGTTTGGGACTTGAACTGCAGTTGGTCATGTGAGAGTCCAGCACCCTTAACCACCATGCCACCTGCCAACCCCAGCAGTTACATACATTTTTTAAAAACAGTTTTATGGAGGACCAGCAGTTAGCATAAAAACAGTTTTATGGAGGCACACTACAGACTGTACTTTTTTTTTTTTTTTTAAAGTTTTGATACAGAGCATGTGTACTTGTTGGAAACACAGAGGGAAATCACCCCCAAGGTGGGGTGGCCAAGCCCCAGTCCCTTCTCCTCCATTCTCTTCTTGGGATTTTGAGCATGCACACACATGCACCTGGTGTGGTTTTTTTGTTGTTGTTGTTTTTTTTTTTTTTTTCAAACTTCCAGGTCTGGGACTTGAACTGCATAGTCAGCCATGAAGGATCCATTCACCTTCACCTCCACGCTGGTCCCTTGCACATACTTGAAGTATACAGTTTGACAGATTCTGACATATGTATACACATGACACCATTGCTGCTATCAAGGTAATGAGCACATCCATCTTCCCCAGAGATCCTTCCCACCCTTCCCTGCCCCTCTTCCCTAAGCAACCGCTGCTCTTGTAAATACGCACTTAATGCTGCTGTCTTGCCCACTTCCCCACCTTAGTAAACTGAGTGCGATCATGCCATCGATCCTTCCCTTGATTCAGCACTACCATTAACATGACTGAAAGTGCCTCAGATGTCATAAAGATGCATACGATGGTTTGCACCAAATGCTAAATGGCCCATTGTTGTCCTGCCACATGAGGCAGTTTGGGGTTTGGGAGTTTCTCGCTTCCAGCCCTCTCAGTGCATAGTTAGGTCCCAGCAGACAAATCCTGCCGCCTCGAACTCTAGCACATCAACTG